TATATATATATATAAATATATATATAAAATATTAACAAATGCTCACAAAAGGTAAGGCCTTAAGTTTAATGGAGCCAATTAGATGCTACCCCATCCTTTCTCCATCTACACTGGAGTAAAGGACAAATTTTCTTGAGACATGGACCAACCTGAAAAGTTTATTTCATTCGATTTATTTCAGTCAACCAAGTTCAAGGACATAATGACTAACTGGACTTGTATTTTCTAGCTCAACAAATTGCAAACAGAATATCCCAATACTTTGAGAAAGGCATTCAAAGGCCACTGTGAATGCTGGTGTTTGTGCTTTAAAAGTGCAGGCATGCAAACAAATTAGACAGCAGTTAACTGATACAGCACAAGTCTTGCAACTGGCAAGAAATCCAAGGAAGTCATGCATCAGCCAGCAGTAAGGAAGTGTTACTGTTATACTCAATCAAAGATCACCACCAACACTACCTAGCTGGTATTGAATTCTCAGCAACACTCTGCCATCAACATGCTGACAAAGGAAAATCACTCTAGGAGGTCAGCAGACCTTAGAGATATGCTGGCATAGTGTCACATGATAAGCACATCCAATTACATACCAAACTAAAGATCTAAAAAAGATGCATGCTTGTATCCAACCTTTTAATTATTACTGTGAGACTTGACTCTATCTCTAAAATCTGATTTCTTTAGCACTCAGTAGTATTTAAAAGCCAGTCTCAACACAAAACATTAAAACAATGCCCACAAGTTCCATGTGTTACAGCATGTCTATTAATACTGCAGTCAGATTCACCATTCCTCAACTCAACAGGGCAACAGCAGGATTCCTAAATAGTTAGTGCACAGCAACAGCAATACAGTACTAAAACAATAACTACCAACCTCGGAGAAATGACAGCAGACATTCCACAGAGACTTACAGCAATCAGAAGTAAAGAAAGGGAGATGAAGTCCTGAAGGTTAAGAGCCTCAAGCAGCAACAGAATCCCATCAACCAGGGCTACGTGGATTAACCAGAAGAGTGCATATGTTCTCAAGAGTACCCAAAGTAACTATCTACCTTCTCAACTACAAATATAGAAGCAGGTAATATTACTGACAAGAGTAGCATCTTCTACTTTGAAAGTGAACAATAACCTGTATATAAGAAAAACAGCCCTAACCGGTTTGGTTCAGTGGATAGAGTGTCAGCCTGCGGATTGAAAGGTCCCAGGTTCAATTCCGGCCAAGGGCATATACCTTGTTTCGGGCACATTCCCAGTAGGAGGTGTGCAGGAGGCAGCTGATCGGTGTTTCTCTCCCATCAATGTTTCTAATTCTCTATCCCTCTCCCTTCCTCTCTGTAAAAAAATCAATAAAATATATTTAAAAAAAGAAAAGAAAAACACATTCCATTTTGGGCACATCCCAGAAATTCCAAGGAACCTAGGACTTAAAATTAAGAAGATTAAAAAAAAGGAAAAAGAATAGGCATATTATAAAATTAATAAGCTTCTCTCTAGGACAGCCGTGGGCAAACTACGGCCCGCGGGCCGGATCCGGCCCGTTTGAAATGAATAAAACTAAAAAAAAAAAAGACCATACCCTTTTATGTAATGATGTTTACTTTGAATTTATATTAGTTCACACAAACACTCCATCCATGCTTTTGTTCCGGCCCTCCGGTCCAGTTTAAGAACCCATTGTGGCCCTCGAGTCAAAAAGTTTGCCCACCCCTGCTCTAGGATCTCCTAGTTAGGAATTTTTAAATGCTCAAAATGTATTTAGTTTCTGGACTAAAACAGTGAATGTTTAGTTTCCTAACAATGATGTAACAGGAGAGATGCATGTGATTTGGAGGGGGTGACCTGGGGCTAAAGTTGGCAAGGTGCATAAAACTGCCGGCCAGGCCTGGCCGATGTGGCTCAGTGGTTGAGCATCAACTCATGCACCATGAGGTCACTGGTTCGATTCTGGCCAGGGCAAATGCTGGGGGTTTCAGGCTCAATCCCCAGCAGAGGGCATGGAGGAGGCAGCTGATTAATGTTTTTCTCTCGTTGATGTTTCTCCCTCTCTCTCTAAAAATCAATAAAAACATATCAATTGATCAGAAAAAAAGTGTGACACCCTATATATCAGAAAAATAGGATCAAAACTTAGCTTTGAATCTCATTAACTTACATGGCTCTTTGAACTTACCAGATACTGGAGAAAATAGTAAATTAGAGCATCCAGATTAACTGCCAGAGAGTTGATCTGGGGTGGGGATGGGAATGCCAATAACTCCCCACTCAGCCCAAACAGCTGGACACCATCGAGGAAGCAGCTTAAGAGAAGTCCTACCTTACAGAGGACCTTGGCCATTTCAAAGGTGCCCACAGTGTCCATATTGGCAGCAATGATGGGGATCCCAGTGTATATCTGCTTTGAGTTGCGAAATGAAAAGGATCTTGTGAGATCCACCTGCAGATATGAACAGGAAAAATGAGCATTTCATTCAACCAAGAAACAAGTACTGCATGAGGAAAAATGCCAGGAATCTTCCTCAGTCCTGGTCCACCAGGGGAAGCGGGCTCACCTCACTTCGAGACTTAAGGGTACTGCGTTTGGGCCTCAGCAAGACGTCCTTGAAGTCCAGTTTGACGTCGTTGTCTATGTGAGGCATGGCGGGGGCTTCGGGGTAGCAACGAATCTGAGGGTTGGAAGGTAAGGAAAGACGAGACGGGGGAGCTGAGTCAATAACAAGCCTTAAGGCCCTGTTAGGGCTGGCGGCAGGGCTCATCTCTCTCCTCGCTTAAATTGTGCTAAGTCGGGGCACTGGTCGAGGCGTGGTCGGTCCCTGAAGACTGCCATCTTCGACCGGTCCCACGGTCGCGATTACCCTCGGGGTCTCCATCCCAGGGGAGAATAATTGGGATGGAATCGTGAGTGATCCTAAACACGTACATTCTTTACACTACTTTTCCTTCTCCCTCCCGGCAAATAAGTAATGAGGGAAGAGAGTGATTTGGGGGCAAGAGGAATGGGGGAGGAGTCCCACAACCTGCTTCCGGAATAGGGGTACTCACTTCCTGTGGCCGTAGCCAAGGTGGCAGTTGACCGAAGTTCCCCTTGCTTAGCAACGATCCTCGTGCAGCCCCGCTAAGCCTTGTGGGCCACGCCAACAGGTTCCGCTAATTGCGGGCGAGAACGATTAACTGAGGAATTCCAGCTTCGGCGGCGGCTGTGCGAGGTCTTCTGGTTAACGGAATTCACACACTGAGGTTGCCGTTGGTCTGAGAAGCAGGAGACTACAACTCCCAGGGTGCAACGCGCGGAGCTGCCCGCAGGCAGGATGGGAGAAGTAGTTCGTTCCGCCCCGTCTTCCCACTAGACCCTGCTCGCTGGGGACTCTCAGAGTCGCGGGAGCGTCATCTCTGCTCTAATTAAGCTGGCCACCTTCTTTTTCTTTAGGACGCCACCGAAAGGAAACGCGGGGAGCATTTCTGAGCCTTTGGGGAATCCCGGGGAAAGAAGGGGAGGTGGAGCCAGCCAATGACCCGGAAGCAGAAGTGACTCCCACCGACAGAGTGCTGGGGAGCGGCAGCAGCCACCACAGCGGTAGAAGCAGCAATTTATCTGTGTGCAGACCCAATATCGGAAGAAGATGCTAATTAAAGTGAAGGTGGGAGCACCTCCAGCTTTGCCAAGACGCAGTGGTACTGGGCTGGCCGCTGTGCCTTACGGGAGAAGCGGGGAAGGGAAACCACGCCTTTCCCGAGCCTTGAGGGCGCTGACACCCTCAGGGCTCCGCGCGAGGGGTGATGGGAAGTGGGGGGACTCTTGATGTCTTTGATGGCGAGGGGCTGGCCCAACTAAGTGACCGCGGGGTTTCTGTCTTTCCTGCTTTCTCGCCAGACGTGACATAACCCTGAAGGCCTCCTTTGCCAGGGTTCTCGCTGTATTCAAACCCGCCCCCCGCCCCCCCCGCGCTCAGGGAGAAGACCTAGCAGCAGCTTGGCTCCCCTCCCCCTTAGATTCTTGGAATAAGCTCAGATCTCCGTGCTTCGTGCCCAGGTTACCTGCTTCTCCCAGTCCGAGCACAGCACAAAAACGTTAGCCTGGGAACCGGGGTGAGGGGAGGAAGGGGGAGGGGGTGGTTCCAAGGCTAGATCGTGAGTCTTTGCTGGTTGTCGTCAAGGTTTGGTATCTCAGCCAGCCTTCAGGAACCCAAACTGGGAGTGTTAGTCAGGACCTGCCTTTCCGAGCCAGGCATCCTGGGCCAGCCTCCCTTCCGTGACGGGGGCGGGTTGGTTAGTTACCAGTGCCCCAGTTCTTGTACTGGCAGGGTTAACTTCATCTTCTCTCAACTCCCATTATTTTTCAATTCCCAACCCTCACCAGTCCTACCTGCTATTTCCTCTTTTGTACCTGCAGACAGACAAAAATTAACAATCGATGCAGTGCAACATTAGTTTGACTGCTTTACTTCTGAGTAAGTCTATCGTTATTTCATCAGCTCCTTAGTGTATTTGCTATATATAATAGCCATTCTTAACCTCTTCCGTTCTTCCAAACCACCTCTTAGCTACGGATTGAGGCCAAACGGCATGGCCAAACTATATTGTTTTTCAAACTTGAGTAGTGGCCTATAAAAGAGTCGCTAATTGTGAAGTCAATTTAAGAGTTCAGTGGGTCGTGAGCAATGTTTTAAAAAAAAGAAGAAGAAAATAGAAATATCAGGGTATACTTCTGGGTAAAAGTGTTGTGTTACTGGTTCATATGTATTTCTTAATGTGGGTCACTTGATGTTCAGTGTTTTGGAAACTCTTTTTAAAATCTCAATCTACATTTAAAAATTTTACCTCATGTCTCAGACACGCTCCCCCCCCCAAAAAAAACACATCTTATTATGTGTGATATGCTTTGACATTTCAATTGTAAGTTGATTTCATAACCCATTGATGGTTGAAACCTGCAGTTTAAAAGTATACTGTTATAGATGGGCTTCTCAACTTAAAAGTGTTTAAGAATCACCTGGGGATCTTGTGAAAATACTCATTATAATTCAGTGGGTCTGGGATGAGACCTGAGATTCTGCATTTTAACATGCTCCCATGTGATGCTGATGTTGCTTGAGTAGCAAGGTTCTAGATTTTGTCTCTTTGAATTAATTTTTATTTAGTACTTCTCTGAAATTGTCATTTTCCTTTCCTGAAACACTTTCCTTTTTACCTTTAAGTGGGTTTCTCTGTCCTCCATCTCTCTTTTTTGGTTGTTGTTTGCTACATTTCTCTATACGTTAAATACATATAAAAGTGATTAGTTAGCCCTAACCGGTTTGGCTCAGTGGATAGAGCGTCAGCCTGCAGACTCAAGGGTCCCAGATTCGATTCCAGTCAAGGGCATGTACCTTGGTTGCGGGCACATCACCACTGGGGAGTGTGCAGGAGGCAGCTGATCAATGTTTCTCTCTCATCAATGTTTCTAACTCTCTATCCCTCTCCCTTCCTCTCTGTAAAAAAATCAATAAAATATATTGAGAGAGAGAGAGATGATTAGTTAGCTGTGAGTTATATAAATGATAGGTTTTATTGGCAGGACTCCTTTATAAATTACTAATTTTTCAACTTTTCTCTCCCCTTAGCTGACTTCTTCCATATCTTTTTCTGCAGTCCTTTACAGGTCCTTCTGATTTAAATCTTCTCTTGATACTTCATCTTTCTAAAATTAAATACATCATCTTCTCTCTTAAGCCGGCTCCCCAATACTCATATATTGATCCTGCAAATCTACCAGGTATCTGGAACTCAGTTCTTTAGAGTAATTTCTCTTTTAGAACCTAATTTTTCCTTTGATATTTCTTTTTGCTTGGTTTTCTTTTCATTCCCATTACACTTATTCTGGTCTGGGGTCTCATTAACTTATGTCTTTATTTATGTGTGATGCCTCCAACCAGGTTTTCATATGGCCATGCCCTCTCTAAAGTCTAGAGTCTAAATTGAGACATAATATACAAAATCATAGTGTACAGATCTTTAAACTTCTTCATCATATTGCTCCCTAATGCCAGATCCTCCATTAGTACCCTCTTAGCAGATAACTTTGGGCAATCATCTGTACTATCTAAGCCCTATTTTTCTCATTCAAATATTTTTTAAAATATGTTTTTGTAATTGATTTCAGAGAGAGGAAGGGAGAGAGAGAGAGAGAGAGAGAGAGAGAGAGAGAGAGAGAGAGAGAGAAAGAGAAAGAAAGAGAAACATCATTAATCAGAGAGAATAATTGATTGGCTGCCTCCTGCAAACCCCACGTTGGGGATCGAGCTCACAACCTGGGCATGTGTCACAGTTTGTTTATCCATTCTACTGTTGATGAACATTTTGGTTGTTTCTATTTCTGGCCATTATGAATAAGAGTCCTATGAACATCGTTATACAAGTCTTTTTGTGGACATATGTTTTTCCTTTGGATAAATACCTAGGAATGGAATTAGTAGGTCATGTGGTATACACACACACACACACACACACACACACATATATATATATATATTCATTTATTTATTTATTAAATGTATTCTTTTATTTTTTTTATTTTAGGGAGAGAGAGAGAGAGAGAGAGAAACATCGATTTGTTGTTCCACTTACTTATGCATTCATTGGTTGCTTCCTGTAGCGACCTGACTGGGGATCGAATCTGCAACCTTGATCGGAAGGATGCTCTAACCAACTGAGCTATCCAGCCAGGGCTTGATAATGTAACTTTAAAAGAAACTGCTAAACAGTTCTTCAGGTGCACCATTTTACGTTCCCACCTGCAATGAATGAACTTTCCAGCTGCTTTGTACCCTTGCTAGTCATATCAGCCATTTTTATTTTAGTTATAATAGTGAGTGTGAAATGTTATTTTATTTAGGTTTAAATTAATCAGTGCTGATTTTCACTCACCATAGCATTTTGACATTGCACCTTGTATTTGGACAGTAGTATTCAATATGGCATTTCCTTGTATATATAGCTTGTTCTATTAATTATACGGCTCAGTGTTTCTTCATTGTAAATCTTCACTTGAAAATATTGTTGGCAAAGGCTGGATCACTTAATTTCTTTTATATCCCCTCCAGCACCTAAAGCAGTGTGTTGGGCTTAAGTTCATCATAGACTTGTTAAATAGCATTGAATGCATTCCTGGGTCACAGTGAGCAGATCTGAGGGAAGAAGCTAGTATCGCATGATATATAAAGAATATATTTTAAAATTGTTCAGTTAATTTTTAATTATGGACAACTTCAAACATATATCACAGCATAGAGAAAGACATACTGCACCCTTTACCCAGCTTCAAAAACTATAATTTCATGGTCCATCTTATTTACACTCAACAATCCTCCTTAGCTGATGTTTTATGAAACAAATCCCAGCATGTTACTCATACATTTCAGTATTTAGCTGTAAAAAATAACTTTTTTCCTAATATAACCATAATGATCACACCTAAAAGATTAACACTGATTTTTTTTACTATCAACAAATGTACTCTTTTTGTCTCATTTATTTTTATAGTTAGTTTGAATCTAAACTAAAGTCATACATTACAGTTGGTTGATATGTATTTTAAACTCTTCAAACCTGTAAAGCACCCTTTTCTCTCTTTTTTCTTGTTGAATAAACTATATTGTTTGTCCCATAGAGTTTCCTACTGTTTGGATTTTGCTGATTACATCTCCATGCTGTCTTTTAATACATTCCTCTTCTACCTGTTTTTCTTGTCATTTGGTAATAAGATCTAGAACCTTGATTAGTCTTTTCTATGTGTTCATCTGTGAAAATAATTCATAGGTAGTGGTGCGGTAAGTACTTTTTTGTTGTTTTCTTAGTCCTCACCCGAGGATATTTTTCCCATTGATTTTATTTTATTTTTTTTTTTTCACAAAGTAGATAAACCCCTCATGAGGATTCTTTTTTTTTTTTTTTTTAAATTAAATCTTTATTGGAGGGAATCGAGCCTGCAACCAAGGTACATGCCCTTGACCAGAATCGAACCCGCAACCCTTCAGTTCGAAGGCTGGTGCTTTATCCACTGAGCCTAGGGCAACATTTTTTTTTTTTTTTAGATTTTAAAAAAATATATTTTTATTGATTTCAGAGAGGAAGGGAGAGGGAGAGAGAGATAGAAACATCAATGATGAGAAAAAAATAATTGATTGGCTGCCTCCTGCACGACCCTTACTGGGGATCAAGCCCACAACGTTGGCATGTGCCCTTGACCGGAATCGAACCTGGGACCCTTCAGTCCACAGGCCGACGCTGCTAGGGCTAGGGCACCATTTTTAAGTGTACAGTTAGTATATTGTATTTGGATGTCAGCAGCCCTTAGCCTATGGAAGAAGTCAAGAAGACCAGAGCTGCAATTTAGGATTTACACAGAAGTCTGGAGAAGATATGGAAGAATAGAATGTTGAATTCTAGTATTACTTAAGTTAATCAGAGGCGATCTCTGATATCCTTGAGAATTCTTTGAATTATCTAAATGTTAATTTCTACCACTGATACACAACAACATCCTTCTGACTCAAAGGAATGCTATCTTTAGGATACCTCTCATTGCTATGTCAAGCAAAAATACCATGGATTCTAGTGGGGTAGGGTGGGGGATGTGAAATGACCTGTGGGACTAAGGTCAAATGGTTCACAGAATCTTGCCCTCTCAAACATGTCCACAGCCTAAAAATGTTTGGTGAATTTAGATGTGGTCAACGCCTTCCAATTCTTCAGAGCAGCTTTGCCAAGAATGTACATCTCTTAGAAGGTAGTAGATCCCCAGAGACCAGGACAGGACATTTTTACCTAAGAGAAATATTGTCAGTGGGCTGTAGGACTCATGAAACCCTTGCCTGTTTCAGACGCTGACCGGAAAGGAGATTGAGATTGACATTGAACCCACAGATAAAGTAATACCCCAACACATCTTCATGCCTATCTCTCTACATTTGTTTGGATATGCTGATGAACTTAGTCCTTTGCTTTCATGCTGTCTGCATAGCTCTGTTCTTTCCACTTCCATGGCCCTACCCGTATCTACCACGGGTAGCCCCTGACTACTTGTACTCCTTAAGGTGGAACGAATCAAGGAACGTGTGGAAGAGAAAGCCGTTTGCTGTACTTTATATCATGATTATTTTGTAACTACTAATTTGTACTTTTTTAAAATTCTTTATTGTTTAAAGTATTACATAATGAGTTTGGAATGGAAATGAGCATGTGGCAATCTTACATGAAGATGAGGGAGCAAATACTGGAGATGGTCTGCTTCTTTTTATTGGTGGCCTAGACCCTTTGACAATTTAGTGAAGCCTATGCACCCCTTCTCCGAATCAGATTTCTGCAGACATAAAATAAAATACATAGAATTACAGAAGCAAATCATATTGAAAATATTTTCAAGATACCTGCAAATAATTGTAATGTGTGAAAATATCTAATTTTTATTGTTAATAGGTTACCCATATTGCTAATACCACTATGGATTTTGCCTATGTTCACAATTTAAAGAAATATTAGATTTCAGGTAGGAGTTAGTAAAAATAAAGATGTAACTTTTTTTTCTCATCTGAGTTTATAGACGCCCCCCCCCAACCCCCCCCCCGAGAGATCCATGAAACCCAGGTTAAAAGCCCTGTTCTAGATGATTTTTCTAATCCTTTTTGTGCCTTCTTTTCCTGCAGGAATGATGAGAAGACAGCAGCTGATTATAAAATCCTAGGTGGTTCAGTCCTCCACCTGGTGTTGGCTCTAAGAGGAGGAGGTGGCTTTAGGCAGTGATGGACCCTCTCTCCATTTTACCTCCTTACCCTGTCTCTCGTGATGAGGCATCATATATCCTGTCACTCTCTGGGACACCAGAGTCACTGCCCCCTCTCCTGGATGCCCAGTCTTGTGTGTCTACGGGTAGGAGACTATGAGGACCCCAGGATGCAGTGTTCCTGTCCCAAATGGCCCCTGCTGGCTATTGGGTTTTAGTTGCAGTCCTGTGTACTTCCCTCTCTTATGGCTATGTCCCTGGTTGTCAATAAAATGTTTCCTGGCCTCCTGGAATCTTTCTTCTGTTATACAAACATGACTGAAGTCAAAATGGACTCAGTGCACACCAGTTATACCAAGCTGAAAGAGTAGGACAATGGAAGGGAGTGTGCCCTCAGAATGATTACCAGACTGTCAGTGGTGCCAGATCTCACCAGTTCATGAGAGCTAACTATTGGCATCTCTTTACAACCCCAAATTAAGTAACTTCATGTTGGTAGCTTGAAATTGGCCATGGTAGAATATTTATAGTAATTGGCAAACAATGAAAATCAGTTTCTCCCCCCAAACTGGTGGTTATACATCTATCATCATACTGCTGACATGGTAGGAACCAGGAGAGTGAATTATCTCCTGTTGTGGACCTACTGGACATTTGGGCCTGACTTGAGAAAGGCCTGAAGGGTTTTACAGATACCACATTCTTTATGGCTGGAGTATTGCTGAGGGCTCTGGGCTCTATACTGTGGAGAGACGCTGATAAGAACAGGTTGAGTGAGGAGTGACACAGCAATGATGGATACTTGTCTTAGTTGGTAAGGTGAAATGAGCGACTGGTGCCAGAAAAAGGTCTGCCTTTCCCTGGCGTCTCTAGTAGAACCTCGGGAGACTGGGTGAAGCAGAGAAGTAAGGGAAGGAGAAACAGACCGCTGTGGTCCAGCGCGCGGTCCGTTGGCACTTGCTGCAGTCCTTCCCGCCCTCCACCATCAGATGGCACTCTTGCACGGCCTTCGGGTGACCGCTGCCGGAGGGTATCTCTGTGGCCCCAGAGAAGGCCCCGCCTTCCTGCACGCAGCCCGTGGGCGCTGGTGATGGCGCCGCTCCCTAAGCTCGCTGTCTTCGATCTGGGTGAGGGAGAGTTTCGTAGGGCGCTCTCCTTTTCCAAACCCCAGTTCCAGTTCTCGAGTCCCTGCCCCCTCCAGGCTGAACCCTCCCCTTTCTTCCCCGTGCAGATTACACGCTCTGGCCATTCTGGGTGGACACGCACGTAGACCCCCCATTCCACAAGAGCAGGTGAGGGCGGGCTGGGGAGGACGGGCCGGAGGGTCGCGCCGGAGCTGAGTGCGTTCTCGCCTTCTCCAGTGATGGAACTGTTCGAGATAGGCAAGGCAGGACCATCCGACTGTACCCCGAGGTGCCCGAGGTCCTGGACCGATTTCGAGGCCTTGGGGTACCCATGGCAGCCGCTTCACGGTAAGAACAACTGAAAAAAACCTCAATCCAATGTTGACAGATGCATGCGTGAGACTTCTTGTGTAAACCCTTGGTTACAAAAATGTAGGGGGTGGAAAATTTGCAGGTATTGTACATTTTTAAAATTATGACTTCCCCTGTGCCTTTTATTTATTCAACGTTGGCTTAGCGCCTATGTCAGGAAGGATTGGAAGTAGAATAAGGACCTAGAAAGCCTGTCCATCCATCCTGGGGAAATAGCAAGTTGATTTCCCCCTGGTGATACATAACTTCACTTGCAGCTCGGGCCCTCCACTCTCCTGATCGCATCTACTACACCTTTTTGCAGGACAGGTGAAATAGAAGGGGCCAACCAGCTACTGGAGCTCTTTGACCTTGCCAGATACTTTGTTCAAAGGGAAATCTATCCAGGCAGCAAGGTCACACACTTTGAGAGGTATGAGGGAGATGAGGGGAGAAGTAGGGGGAGAGAAGAGCAGAGAGACCGGAAGAACTAAAAAGCCAGCTTGGTTACTCCCCGCCCTGCCCTGCCCTGCACAGGCTGCAGCAGAAGACTGGAGTTCCTTTCTCCCAGATGATCTTCTTTGATGATGAGAAGCGGAATATTGTAGACGTCAGCAAACTGGGTACTGAGTGGTGAGAATAACCATTTGGGAAAGGGGGAAGAAAGGGTTCCTAGGAGAAACGAGGTGTAAAATATCTCTTTTCTTTCTAGGTGTTACCTGCATTCATGTTCAGAATGGAATGAGTCTTCAAGTCCTAACTCAAGGACTAGAGACATTTGCAAAGGCCCACGCTGGACCCTGAGGTCCAGTCCTGCGGATGAGCCTCATTTGAGGCATAAAACTCAAGGAAACCAGGAAGGCATTTTCAGGTGCATGTGTAAATTATAAAGTGTATTTGTGTGACAAGAAATCTTATCACAGTGTGGAGTTGTTTTTCTCGCGTGTGGACCAGGGTTGGCTACCCCGAGTGTGAGGGTTAGACTGCATCAGGTTCTGCCTTACAGCCTTGTGGCAAACCCAGGACTCTGTCCCTTTGTACTGGCCCATCCCCACTCCTTCTCCTGAGCTGTCCAGGGCATGAAGAGCCAAGTTTTCCACTGTCTCCTGCACATTTCCTTCCAGGAAACAGTTCTTTGGGGGGGGCAGCCTTTTTATACTTCAAAGTGAAGTGGCTGCTTTATTTTTTTTATTTGTGTGTGTGGATTTATTTTTTATTTTTAAAATTTTAGTTTTGATTACAGTTTACATTTAATATTGTTTTGTTTTGGTTTCATGTGTACAGCATAGTGGTTAGACAATTATATACTTTACAAAGTGATCCCCCCAATATTTCAAGTACCCACCTGACACCATACATACTTATAATATTATTGACTATATTCCGTTTGCTGTACTTTATATCATGATTATTTTGTAACTACTAATTTGTACTTTTTTAAAATTCTTTATTGTTTAAAGTATTACATAAGTCTTTTTCCCCCATTGACCTCTCCCTGGCCACCCCATTGGTTAAGCTCATATGCATGCATACAAGACCTGTGGTTGATCTCTTGCCCCTCCCCTCGCCCCCCAGCCCTCATAGGTTGGACAGCCTGTTTGAAGCGGCTGCTTTGAACCGAGCTTGCGGGTTTGGGGCTGGTGGCTCGCGTCACGTGACAGCAGTGGCTTCCTTGGCGCCGGGTGATGTCGCAGCGGAGCCCCAAGAAGGGATTGGCCGAGGCGGGTCTCTGAGTGCTGGGATGCAGGCTCCCAGGAACAAGGCGGAAGTGTGCAGGACGCCGTGGGGCAGAGGCAGGACGGGCAGGGGCCATGAGTGGTCTCGGCCGACTCTTCGGGAGGGGTGAGCATGGGCCACAGGGGAAGGGGAGAGGGTGGGGGAGACGGACGGGGAAGAAAGCCAGGGGACAGGCTTTCCCGAAAATCCTGGTGATGGCCCCGCAAGGCCTCCAGTGCAGGAGGCCCCGCCTTGTCAGAGCGCCAGGCGCCGCCTGCCCGCCTTCCGCCACCTCGGAAGGAAGAGCGCTAGGTCCGGGAAGGCTCGGGGTGGAGGACTGCGGCAGTGCCGGCTCCCACGGTTTAGGTTCCGACGGCCAGTTTCCAGTCCTTTCCAAAACTCTGGTGCTCTCCTGATTCTGGGCAAGAGGGAAGCTGCGGTGACGAAGAAAGGGGCCTTCTCAAAGCTCCTCTCTGATGGGGAAGACAAGCAAAACTGGCATTTACAGTAGAGTGTGCACTACATGGTGATGTTCGTGGAGCCAGGGCAGCATAGAAGCAGCGGGTGTCCGGGTCCAGCAGGCTAGAAGCATGCCGGGTGGGGAACTGAGCGACCCCAGGAAGAGCGAACTGCGTGTGTGCGCAAAACAAAGGCTGGGAAGAGGACATTTAGCTGGAAGAGTAGTTCCATGAATATGTGCGCTGAAGGGGAAGAGAAAGCAGAAGGAAGTGTAGTGGGAGAGGACCTTGTGTGTCTCGTTTTTAAAGCTTTGGATTTTATCCTGTGGGCAGTAGAGAGTATGGAAGGACTTTAAGCAGGCAAGGGCCATCAGATTTGTGGGCGGAGGGAAAGAACTGAGAAGTGCAGAAGATGAAAGGAAAAATTGAGATCAGGTTTTAATTTTTTTTTCTCTAGCCCCCTGTACTTCATTCCATTTAAACCTGTGGTGTCAGGACCTTGGGTATCTCCTAGGATAGCAAATGGAACAGTGATTATAAAAAGTGACAATTCTTTGGGAGGCTGATACACAAATTGAGCTAAGTACTGCTCTAATTGTCACCATACCTCCCTAGAATAAACTGCCTTTTGATGACCGGGACGAATTGAGTGAAATCGTAACGGACAGATACGGGGCAGACAGTTTAAAAAAAAAAGTGACAATTCTGGTGGGGGATGGGATAATGGGAGGTTATGCATATGTGGGTGCAAGGGGCAAATGGAAAATATCTGTATCTTCCACTCAATTTTGCTGTGACCCTAAAACTGTTCTAAGAAATAAAGTCTATAAAGTTTTTTTAAAAGCTGGAAATGACTTGAAAAGGCAGCTTGGACAGCAAAAGAATACTGGCTTTGGAAGTCATACTGCCACATTTCAATTATTGCTCAATCTCTTACTAGTTGTGATTTCAGACAAAAAAATGTTTAGTATCTTTGTGCCTGTTTTCACATTTGTAAAGTGAAGATAGTCCGTTGTAGAGCAGTGGTTCTCAACCTTCTGGCCCTTTAAATACAGTTCCTTATGTTGTGACCCAACCATAAAATTATTTTTGTTGCTACTTCATAACTGTAATGTTGCTACTGTTATGAATCGTAATGTAAATATCTGATATGCAGGATGGTCTTAGGCGACCCCTGTGAAAGGGTCGTTCGACCGCCAAAGGGGTCGCGACCCACAGGTTGAGAACCACTGTTGTAGAGAGTCATTTTGGGATTAAAATAACATAGTCAAGTGCCTAGCACATACCGTGCACTCCATGATTGGTGGTTAATTTTTTCCCTTCACACAATATGGGCCTTCTCTATTGGACTCCAGGGAAGAAGGAGAAGGGACCAACCCCTGAAGAGGCGATACAGAAACTGAAGGAAACGGAGAAGATACTGATCAAGAAACAGGAATTTCTGGAACAGAAGATTCAACAGGAGCTCCAAACAGCCAAGAAGCATGGGACCAAAAATAAGAGAGGTGACAGGGGAAAGGTGCCAAAAGGGAAGGACCCAGGTGGGAAGCAGGGGCTTCTGACTCTGATGTTCAAGGTGTGGGCTGGGTCAGCTGCCCTACAGGCTTTGCGGAGGAAGAAAAGATTGGAACAGCAGCTAGCACAAACGGATGGGACATTGTCCACCCTGGAGTTTCAGCGTGAAGCCATTGAGAATGCCACCACCAATGCAGAAGTGCTTCGCACCATGGAGCTTGCTGCCCATGGCATGAAGAAAGCCTACCAGGACATGTGGGTATGGGGGAGGGGGCCCAAGCACAGGAGAGTAGCTTGGTATTAGGCTTTGGATCTTAAAAGCTCTCTGAATGTGAATCTACAGTATAGACACCTATGATGGCTAGACCTCTGTCAGCCTCCTTTTCTTCTTGCAAGAATATCTCCTTTCTGGCTAGAGCTTTCTAGCAAGGAAAAATGATTTTCCTAATTTTCTAAAGGTTCTTCAGAAAAGGGAGTGTAATCTGTTCCCAGCCCCACCCCCATTCCCATGTGGATTCTTGCCATTTTTCAGTTTGCCATTGTAACTTGCCTAGTTACAGTTTTCCAGGGATCTCTCATACCTGCTAGCCATGGATTTATCAGTGAGGCCACAGACAAGGGGCTTCATTCATGTGAGATCAGAAAGTCAGGGGGGCAGTTGCCTGATTTCTGGGCTATATATCTTCTTCTCAGGGACATTGACAAGGTGGATGAACTGATGGCTGACATCACAGAACAACAGGAGGTGGCCCAGCAGATTTCTGATGCCATTTCTCGGCCTGTGGGCTTTGCAGATGATGTGGATGAGGTGATTGGGAGTGAGGGGTCAGGAAGTCTTGGAGGAAGCATGGAACCATCCAAAAAACAATGTCCAAGAGAATCGGGGGGCAAGTTTAGAGGGGAACATGATATGTTTTTAGAAGCAAAAGTTTCCTTTCTTCGTCTTGAATCTTGTCTATCTAGGATGAACTGTTGGAGGAACTAGAGGAGCTGGAACAAGAGGAATTGGCTCGGGAGTTGTTACATGTGGGCGACAAGGAGGAAGAACCCCCAGTCAAACTGCCCAGTGTACCCTCTACACATCTGCCTGCAGGGCCAGGTACCCAGGGCTGTTCTGATGTCTCAAGGACTTGAGAGGGTGGGATAGATATGGGGAGAGAGTTCCTCATCTATCCTGCCTTAAAGGAACCGGGCAGAAAGGGCTGCTGCTAAAGTTGCACAGGTTGTTGTAGGGGCACCTGGCTAAAGGGGAATGGGGACCGAAATCCAATCTGTGCTCCACTCAGCAAACTGTGTACCCTGGTTTAGGGCTGCAGATGCTGTGCAAAACAGGCACCTTTTAAAAATTTGCACAAAGATACAGGATTAGCAGCAGCCCAGGAAGCAGAAGTACCAAACCTTTAGGTTCTTTGCTGGGGAGAGAGAATTCAGCAGGTTCTGAGTGCTGTAGCAAGGGGTGATTGGAAGGTGCTGAGGCTTTAACATGTCTTTCTCTGGATATCCTTGTCCCCAAAGCTCCCAAAGCGGATGAAGATGAGGAAGCACTAAAGCAGTTGGCTGAGTGGGTATCCTGAAGAGTCTGGGCTTATCTTCCTGATGCTGCCTTCATTGATCTCTTTTCCTTAAGTGCCAAGTGCGGAGCTAAAGGAACATAGCCTTTTTGGGAGGCCCTGCTGAGGGTGGTGGTATAGCCCTGCCTGAGAAAGGGTCTGTTGCCCTCCAATCCCTGGCTTGGATCAACTCTGAAGAAGGATCTTGGTGCGGGAGGAGCCCCTGGGCTCCCTTCTCTCTGATAGCAGTTACAGTGCCCTTGTCTTCAATAAAATTGGGCAGATGGAATCCTAGTGCTTATACTGCCTTGTCTACAGACCTGAAACTTGGAGCTGTTTCAGGCAATGAATACTAAAAGGAGTAATGAAGGGGCATTGTAACATAGAATAAATGTTTCCAATATCTTACCTACTAGGTTCATCTTGCAAGTTGGTTTGTCCTAGAGTTGCTAGAGCTGTGGCTGAGGAAACTGCCACCTATTGCTTATCTTAGAACTGGAGCTTTCTCTGCATCTTCCCTCATCACTTTCCCCAGTCAGCGTCTGACAAGACAGCCCCATGATTTACCACCCATTTTTTTTTTTTTGCAAAGCCCATTATTAATGATAGGGAAGGAGAATACAGGGATAAAGGGGTAAGTAGCTTTCCTTTATCCAGAACCCACAGTTAGTAGACTTGGTTTGAACTGTCACTTTTCTGTCTAGGAGCAATAGTGTATGTGGCTATGATTCACTAGGGTTGTTTCAATAGTTAATTTAGAGGAGTGACAAAGAACAAGATACTTCTTATATCCTGATAACCATTACTTTTCTTTTTAAAAAAAAATACTGCTTTCAGAGAGGGAGGGAGAGGGAGAGAGTGAAAGAAATATCAATGATGAAAGAGAATCATTGATCGGCTGCCCCCTACTGGGGATTGAGCCTGCAACCTGGGCATGTGCCCTGACCTGTAATCAGACTGTGACCTCCAACCACTGAGCACCACTGGCCAGGCTTGATAACACAATGCTGTCCCTTTAGACTATAGACAGAGGTAGAGCCATGACCAAATAGAGCAACCAGGGCCTCTACCCTATGACTTGACCATTTAAAGTGCAAAGAAATGTAAAATAGTGAACATGTACTTAGCCAGAATAATGAACTTCTCTAAAGCATGTTTTCATCTGAGCAAACCCTCCCCCATGAGCCAAATATAAGCTACACTGTGAATGACAATGTGGACTTAACAGCTATCAAGGTTACTAGTCACAGGCTCTGAGCAGAAATCCACCTCTTACCCTCAGCAGTGTTCCCTGCTAAGGTTCCCTAAGGAAAGAATATCTTTGACCCCAACTAATGAAACTAAATCAGAATTAGATTTATTTTTGGTATAAAAGATTTTTAGCCCCAAACCCTTCCTGCTTTGCTCCTCTCTCAATCCCTGCCTCAGCCACTTTCAGATATTGATTTCCATGGATGCGCGACAACTTGCCGTGCTGAGCGGCTGCCACATGGCCTCAAGCAGCCTGATCTCATGGGTGGGTGGCTCAGGCTGGAACTTGAGCACCCATGGGTCCTTGATGATGTCCAGGATGGTGGCACGCTTGGTGGGCTGACGTAGTGTCTGGACAACCAGGTTCTAGGCAGGGGAGAGAGGGGTCTTGGCTGAGCCTCCCAATGTGCCCCACAGGCATGAACAGGGGACCTAAGAAAGAAGCAGGATAGCCCATCACACCGCTCTGATGGAAGGGGCTGTGGCCCTGATTTTATCCTGAAGAACCAGGCCTTTAACTCCCTGGAGGGGAAGAGAAGGATGGATTCATTGGAGGGGATCCCTTGCCTAATCCTCTTCTGGCCTAAAAAGATAGGTGAATCCTGCTCACCACTCTCATCTAAGGTGCGGAACCCAGTGGTTGGCCCTCTAAGTCCTTCCCACTATTCTAGGGCAGGGCCTAGAGTGCAAGATGGCTCTGGTAGGGAAGAGCCTTCTCTAGCGTTGGAAGGCCTAGGTTGGGTTCCCTCCCTGTGGGTCCCTTGAGTCCTCAGTACGATTGGGGGAGCCAGCACCTTGCACTCCTGGGAGACGGACAAGTTAGGTGGAAAAGTGACCTCCTTCTGAGTCTCTTTCAGCAGCTTCTTGAGATTGGTGTCATCAAAGGGCAGACGGGCAACCAGCAGAGTGTAGAGGATGACACCCATGCTCCAGGTGTCAGACAGGAAAGGGTTGTAGGGTAAGCCTAACAAGATCTCTGGGCAGGCATAAGCAAAGCTGCCACAGTAGGTCTGGCTGAGGTGGGCAAAACAGTTCCTTTGGTGTAAAGAAGGGCTATTACGCACAGAATGGCTAGAAGGTACCATCTTGGCGAAGCCAAAGTCTGATATCTTCACATTCTCCCGCTTGTCCAGCAATAAGTTCTCCAACTTTAAGTCCCTACAAGGAGCAGAAAAGCTGGGGGTCAGGGAGAGGACTTAGTATTAGACTCAGAACGGAAGGGCCAGGGGTCAGAGGCTAGAGATGAGGAAAGGCATAGTGCGAGAGAGATGCCATTGTGAGAAAACAAAGTAGAGAGGAAGGAAAGCCATGGGGTTGTGAGCAGAGCCCAAAGAGGTAAGAGGATGGTATCTGAGGACCCTGGGACCTCACCATTTCATAAAGTGCTCTATCCACAGTGGGTACTTAATAAATGTTCTTGACCGGCTGACTAAAAAATATGGATGAATGGGCCTAGATACTGAGAAGGGAGGCCAAAGGAGGAAAAAACAGGGCAGAAATGTGCATAAAACCCCCCTTGAGAGCCCAAAGGCCCCAGTCCAGGTGGCAGCACACTCACCGGTGCACGATGCCCTTGCTGTGCAGGTAGGCGATGCCCAGGGACATCTGGGAGAACCACTTGCCCGCAAGGGGCTCAGAGCAGGCCCCGTAGCGCTGGACCCATTCAAGGACATCGCCGCCCTGAGCCAACTCCAGAATTATGTACACTCGGGACGTGGTCTCGATGGCCTGGTAGAAGTTGATGAGGTTCTTGTGCCGCAGGACCTTCATTACCTGGCCCCAGAAGAGGGACCCATCAAGCCTGGGAAGGGAGAACCTTGGCTGTGCTCCCAGCCCCCTGCTCTCAGTGCTACTTTCATAGAACTTTGCAACAGGAACAAAAGAGGGTTTGGTGGCCTGTGGGCAAACCCTGTGCTTTGCATGTCCCCTTTTTGAGGTGCTGAAGGTGAATGAATGAGTGAGTGGAAAGAGATTGAATTTATATCAGTTCTGGTTTGGGGGTTTCTGGCCCCATCCCCTCCTAGCCATACCTCTTCTGAGAAGCCTTAAGCAGCTTGGTACCAGTTCCCTCTTCCTGTACCCTCTCTAACCTGTATCTCACGAGGCAGGAACTTGACAAGATAGTCCTCAGAGGCCTTCTTCTTTGAAATGATCTTGACAGCCACCATGACCTTCTGCTTTGTGTAGTAAGCTTCATACACTGTCCCATAGGAGCCATTGCCAATGGACTTGCCCACTTCATAACCGTACTCCTCCATGACAGAGCGGTAGGCTGAAGTGGGCGGTGCTGTCGTCTCCTGGGTGTCTCCCTTCCCCATTTGCTGGGCTTGCTGAGAGCAGGGAGCTTTGCTACTTAAGAGCCTCCTGTCTGCTCAGAAAACCAACACCTTGAGCCACTGAGGGCTAGGGTACCAAAGTGAAGTTAGTCTCCAAATGCTTGCCTGTGTAGTCACACAAATCTGGGATGCTGGGTTCAGCTCTCCCCTGGGAACAGGGAGGGGGGAAAAGGGAGAATTCTTTGTCTCCACTAGCTGTTGTTACTCATTCTCCTCTTGATTACGGAATTCCCCAAGGTCCCATGTTCCGCACACATCACAATTCACCTATTCACCACTGGCCACAAGGCTTGAGAATGAAGTGGTTTGGAACATATTCATTCCTGGAGCACCTTCACAATCTGGTGAGACTCCTCCATAGATATGGTCACTTCAACCACTCATGTTTATTTATTTATTTTTTATAATATATATTTTATTGATTTTTTTACAGAGAGGAAGTGAGAGGGATAGAGAGTTAGAAACATCGATGAGAGAGAAACATCGATCAGCTGCCTCCTACACTCCCTACTGGGTATGTGCCCGTAACCAAGGTACATGCCCTTGACCGGAATCGAACCTGGGACCCTTGAGTCCTCAGGCCAATGCGCTGTCCACTGAGCCAAACCGGCTAGGGCCAACCACTCATGTTTATTGAGCACCTACTATGTGCCAGGCAGTGTGCTGAGTACTGGGATAAAATAAGCAACAAGGCTAGTAGACCCTGTGCTCCCAGATTTTATATCCAGCGTAAAAAACACGTGTGAGAATTTTTAAAAAAATTTATTTCAGAGAGGAAAGGAGAGATAGAAATATCAATGATGAGAATCATTGATTGGCTGTCTACTGCACGCCCCCTACTGGGGGGCGGGGGATCGAGCCCATAACCCAGGCATGTGCCCTTGGCAGGAATTGAACCTGGGACCGTTTAGTCAACAGGCCAACGCTCTATCCACTGAGCCAAACTGGTGCTAGGGCAATGAGTGTGAGAATATTAAAGAGAATTGCAAGGTATTGTAGAAACAATTCTAAAGAATCTAATTTTAAAATTCATACATTTTTCTGTTTTGGGCTTAAAACAACTTTATTTTTGCAAACTGAGCTAGACTTAATTGGTCTCATCTCAGCTGGGATGGTTTGTTTCTGCTTCATATGGTCTCATTATCCAGCAGACAAGCCTGAGTTCCCTCACACAGTGGCACTGAATTTCAAGAGAAAAAAAAAAAATCACAAGTCACATGACCAATTAAGGCTAGGCTCTAAAATCACAAAGCATCACTTCAACATCTTTATAAGAGTAAAGACAATTACAAGGTTACAAGGATCACTCAGATTGAAGGTGTGGAGAAGTAGACTCCACCTCTTAACCTTGAAATGCAATATCTGGCTTTCCATGACCCTAAACTCTACTTCACCCTAAAGTCCAAAGCATAAACCTGATTTAATTCCATTCAAAACAATTTCTTAAAATATATTTTTATTGATTTCAGAAAGGGAGAGAGACATCAATAATGAAAATCATCAATCAGCTGGCTCCTGCACAACCCCCACTGGGGATTGAGCCCATAACCCCAGCATGTGACCTGATCCAGAATCAAACCAGGGACCTCTAGGTTCCTAGGTTGATGCTCAACTGCTGAGCCACACCAGCTAGGCCCATTTAAAACAATTTAATATGTTCCCATTCTCCTTAGAATCAAGTACAAATTCTTTTTTTTTAAATTTATTTATTCTTATTTATTTTTTATATAACAATATATTTTATTATTTTTTTATTTTGTTTTATTGCTTAAAGTATTACAAAGAGTATTACATATGTCTCCTTCCCCACCCCACAAAAAAAAAATGGCTCCCATTGGGGATTGAGCCCACAACCCAGGCATGTGCCCTTGACCGGAATCGAACCCAGGACCCTTCAGTCCGCAGGCCAACGCTCTATCCATTGAGCCAAACCAGTTAGGGCTTGCCTGTGTTTTTAATTTTATTTTTTAAAAACTGATTTCAGCCCTAGCTGGTTTGGCTCAGTAGATAAAGTATCGGCCTTCGGACTGAAGGGTCCTGGGTTCAATGCCCAGTGGGGGCCATGCCGGAGGCAGCTGATCAATGATTCTCTCTCATCACTGATGTTTTTAATCTCTCTCCCCCTCTCCCTTCCTTGCCGAAATCAATAAAAAATATATTAAAAACAAACAAACAAACAAAAAACACAGACAAGAATGTGGCTGAAATGATGGAATGCAGAATCTAAGGTGCATGGGTTGGAAAACAAGATAGAAAAAAGCCAAAGGGTTAGGGAGAGGGGTTCTAGGTCTCGGTGAAATGGAAGAACAAATTTGGTGGGAATGCCAGGACAAGAGGTTGTGATCATAAAGGGGTTGTCTGGATTTGAGATTTGGGAGGAAGGAAAGGGGGCATGCAGAGGAAAAACTAAGGGAAGAATCAGATGTCTTTTATCTTCCATCCTCCAAAATAAAACAAAAACTTCAACAACAGATTATGCCATAGGCTATTGGTAAATCCCCACTTATTGACAACCTGACCTACATATCCTTACTCTATCAAGACGAGCATTGTCCAGGGCACTGTGGTAAGGAGGCAGGGGTGGAAGGGAGTTACCCACTTCATTTGAAGAACGTGTATTAAGCTACCTACTATATACAAAAGCACTGCTAGGTCCAGAGGATAGCGAAATGGATAAACTTCTGTAAGGAGTTAGCAATTAACAAGGGAGACACACATAAGAAATAACAGTACAGATAAAGTGCTACAAACAATGCCTGGAAGGAGATGAAAGGGAAGGCTTTATAGAGAAGATGGCGCTTGCACTGTTCAAAAGCCTCCAGGCAGGTAAGGAATGGTAGATTGGGCAGTTTAGGCAGAAGGAACCACATGAGGCTTGCAGGCTTGAGAGAACATGACATTTAGAATTTCAATATGAGCCCTGGCCAGATAGCAGTTGATTAGAGCATCATCCCAAAACGCCAACATTGCCAGTTCTATCTCAGATGAGGACACATATAAGAAGAAACCAATAAATGCATAAATAAGTGGAACAACAAATTGATGCTTCTCTTCCTTCATCTCTCTAAAATTAATTTAAAAAAAGAAAAAAGAATTTTAACTTGAATACAGGTGGCCAAAGGAAGGTCTCTGCCCCTGGGCCTGATCTCCAGGGAAACGCCCCTACAGGTAGACACCCTTGAATAGTCTGCAACACAAAATTAAGAGCAGTCCAAATACATATACATAGATAAGAACAAAAACAGGAAAGAGACGAACGCATGGCAAGGTTCTTTACCTGCAATTAACAATAACCCTGTCGGACTGCCCAACTCACAGGGGAACAGGCAGACACCCTCTCTGTGCCCCCGCACCGGCCCCGCGCAGGCCTGCCTATCGTCCGACATGAACGGTCGTTGCACGGCCACGGAGGCCTCCACTGCAGCCTCGGGAAGACAGGCCGTTCAGGACGGGGGGAGTGGGGTGAGAGCCAGGCTCGAGGACCCTGTGTGGGCTGTGCCCACAGCCTCACCAGGCCCGGGCTGGGGGCCGTAGACCGCTCAGGTCTAGGCCGCAGCAGTCGGTGGCGAAGGCCGTTGGTGCAGCCAGCAAACGCTTCGGGGCGCCCACTAGGTGTGGGCACGGCCGCCGCCCGGGTTCCACGTCCTGGACAGTGACTGGGCGCGCACGCGGGAACTGCTCTCAAGGCCTCCGCCCCAAACCTTCCCGGGGACAGGAGGGCGGCCCGGCGACGACTCTTTTCCCGAAACGGCGCCTTGATCTTGATAGCCAGGCCCGGTCCGCAGCCCTGCCCAGGAACCGTCAGCGGGGTTAGTCCCCTTTAACGTCTGGGAAGACGCTTCCAGCCGGGCTGAAGGCCCCGCGGGTGAGAGCGGAAGTGGTAAGACTGACGTGTCTTGGGCTGCTCTCCCGATCGCCAGGAGGGCCCCCGGCCCGGGGAGAGGCAGGCTGAGCCTTGAGCGGTCGGCAGAGCTGGGCCGGGCCTGCCGCTTCACAAAGCTCCTGAGCGAGCACTTCACTGAGCGGAGTGCGGGGTCTCACGTGGTGTGACCGCAGTCGCTACGATCAGGCACAGCGGCGGCCAACCCCATGGAGGTCGGTCCCCAGGTCCTCAGCAGGCCGCCGCTAGCGCGCAGCTCTGGGGCAGACCCCAGCGGGAGCCCAAGGGCAG